AGCAACACCAGATGTCGGCCAGGGCGCACGACGCGAGAAGGTTTTTTAGCGATCAGCAGATTATTGTAAGCAGCCGCGCAAGCGAGTCATGTGCTTGACTATAATTCGAAATACATATATCCCGATAATTGCCTATACCTGTCTTACGTTCTTTCTCGCGATACCTAACCGCAAGAAATCTTACAGGAAAAAATGTAAAAAAAAAAAATAACGTACCTACTTATTTTATTCAACAAATTTTCAAAGTAAAATTAGTATAAATCCCACAGCGTACCAGAATGTTGTGAAGACAGATGCATCTTTTTACAGCATATCGCAGTACGACTATCAAACCGTCATAGAAAAATAAAGCTGTGCTTATATTATTTACAGTACTCATAATATCCAATTTTATAGTGTACATATGTATATTCATATACATATAAAATATGTATGTTACATAAAAACTGCAGAATTTTAATTAAAACTAATGTGTGGACTGATTAAAACTAATGTAAATTTCCAAGTGTTTTTATTTTATTGTTTATACTTTTATCTAGAATGCATAAGAAATTTTCTCGGATTAGATTCCACATTAAATTTAATTAAAAAATATAGGAAATCCAAATTAAATTTCTATTTCTTTCTTATATAAAATAATAATTACGGAACAATTTGTTAAACTTTCTAAATTAAACAATTTAGAAGAATAGTATTTTTTTTTTCGTTATAGATTAGGAGCATTATTAGACGAACATATCGCAGGCAAAGATGTTCCTGGTAGAATTAATATGGACAAAAATACTGCTGAATTCGTGCAAAATCAGCCTTTACCGCGTTTCATTAAGAGCCACATGCCTTTCGAACTATTGCCGACTGTCGTAAATAGCACTTGCAAGGTACGTTATAATATTTCTAAGTTAGTCGTACATTTATATAGACCTAACGTATTCATAAAAACATAAAAGATCTATATAAACGTTGACAAGAAAATGAAAGAAAAGAATTAAAAATAGTTCTTTTGAAATTATTTTGAACTTGTCAAAGGATTTGTCATTCATGTATATTATTAAAATTGTTGCATTTAAATGGTATTTAAAAACAAATTGTTCTCCATATCAATTCATGCATTACGAAAGAATACATTGCAAAACTTACATGAATTTTGACGAAACGTATCGAAAATATTTAGTAAAGAGATTTCTCTTTTCAGATAATATAAATTGTACAGGATGGATACGAAGTAATGTAAAAGACTTTAAGGTGTGTGTTCCACAAATTCAAAACAAAAATTTTATATAATTATATGTCTGAACGGCTTAGTTTTAAAGATAAGTGTCAAAGTGGAAGAAAAAATTTTACTTTTTTCCAAGACCTTTTTTTCCATTTCGAAAACATTTAGATTATTTTAATGAAGCTTAATTTATCTATATTTCAAGTTTTATTCAAATAATCTAAGTGATTTTCAAAATTTTTGGAAAAAATCTAAATTTTTCCTTCAACTTTGACACCCTGTATTTTTGAAACTAAGCTGTTTCGGACATGTAGTCATATAAAGTTTTTGTCTTAAATTTGTGTGAATCATCTGAAAAATTTTTTACATATAAGTATCTACCCTGTATGTACACGCGCGCGCGTGTGTGATATTACAAAAAAAAACTTCTTGTGTTAAAATTTAATTAAAAATAAATTTTAATTTTTTTTAAAACGTGTTTTTATTTTACGGGCAACTCCTTTCATAGACATTATTTTTATTCTCAGATTATTTATGTTGCAAGAAATCCAAGAGACGTGGTGGTCTCATGGTATCATTTCCAAAAAACCAATACACATCTCGGTTTTCAGGGAACTTTCGAACAGTTCTGTAATAATTTTATGAGTAATCACAGTAAGTTTTGCGAAATGTCGATTGATTTTTATTACATTCATTTTTTCTTTGTTAACGTTTCAAGAGTCTAATTTTCCGCAATTTTAGCGATGTATAGTCCATATTGGGAACATGTCAAGGAAGCTTGGGCGATGAAACACAGAGAAAACATGATGTTTCTCTTTTACGAAGATCTAATAAAGGTGAAAGAAAAAAATGTTACTTTATTCAATTACACAGTTTTGTTTAAAATATGTAAAAAGTTTCTTTTTAAATTATGTCAATTTGTCTTTCGTAAGTAATAAAAAGAGATTAATATATACTTCCATTTTCAATAATTTTTTAAGTTTTGAATTTTATTAGTATGAATACGGTTTATTTCATTTCTTAAATAAATAGATTATCTTAAAATAAATATGTTTTAATTATATTATTTCTTTGAAGAAAATATTTTTTCAACAAAATTATTAGTATACTGCACACATGCAAACATATCGCTTATTTACATCACTTTCTGATATTATTTAACAAAAAAAAATTAATATACATCCAATAATAAAAATATAGAATGTTAACGATATTAAAGATATATATGTTTCATAGTTAACGTTTCCATTTATTTTTTATAGGATTTACCTGGTAATATAAGAAAAATTACTGCATTCTTCGATAAATCTTACAGCGACGAACAGATCGCAAAGTTAGTGGAGCATTTAAAAATAGAAAATTTTCGCAAAAATCCTATGGTAAATCAGCTGTCTTCCCCCAATGTGATAAAACCGGAAATGTTTATACGTCAAGGAATGACGGGTAGTTGGAAAGAAATGTTCACGCCAGAGATTGAAGAGAAATTTAACAAATGGATCACTGACAATTTAAAGGATACGGATTTAATATTTCCAAGTTAAATTTGTTATACGATATAAACAATTGCAATTTAAGTATTATAATTGAAGTATTATATAAAATTGACATTTTCCAATTAAATTTGTTAAACGATATAAGTAATTACAATTTATACATATAGATCTGGATTTCTTAAATTGGATTTATTACACGATACAAGCAATTGTAATTTATAAAGGATACAGATTTTCCATTCCCAGATTAAATTTGTTACACGATATAAGCAATTTATAAAGGATAAGAATTTAAATTTTTAAGTGAGATTTATTACATAA